CCCCCCACTACTGTGGCATATTCCATGTGCCCCAGCATCGCAGCATTCACGAGTGTGTGGTGCTACCTAGAACTATGTAGAAAAAATATTTAAAGCTGTCTCTATGTCTGAATCTCCGAATCTTCCGAATCTCTCCGAATCAATTCAAAGGGTTCCAATTTGATGTGAAGAGATTAAAGGGTCCTCTGATTTGATTCGGATTCAAAGATTCAGCCACCAACTTGGGCCGAATCTTTGACGAATCAAATCAGGGACCGAAGCTTCGCACAGCCCTACTGCACAGTAGACTAATTTACTTTGCAGTAAATGTGTGCATATGTAGATGGTGACGCTTTACTGCACAGTTTACTCTATTGTACAGTAAAGCGTCTCATGTAGACACACTGACAGTCAGTCATTGTGGAGCTTTTTGTCTGAAGCTCTACAAACTTCCAATTAAACTGGCTCCCCTAGCTTGTGATCTGGTTTCTGATGAGGATAAACCTGATGTTCTAGAATCTGAGTAGCCCACAACCTATGGCTTTGATCCCTCTGCAATTTAGTTCACTTCAAGGAAGAACCTTGATATACTTAGTTGTTATCAGCCCCTCTCAGTTAAAGGAGATGCCTGTTCTTAGCTATGCAGAAGTTTTCCTATTTCTTTCTCTTTACATGGGAGAATTTTTCAATAAACACCCACAGCAGCAAGCATAGCTAGAAAACAAGGAAGGCACCAGCCCCAGGTGCTGACTTGGAGGAAACATAAATTTGGCAGCTGCTACTGCTGCCATTGCCAGCCCAGCTGCTGCCACTGTCCAGGGCATAAAAACTGCTAGTTACAGTCCTGAACCATAGGTCTGCCCCTTTTGAAGGATTAAGAAGTCAATGGTTATTCAAGTCCAAGGCTAGTTGGCACTAGCATATCCTGAGATTTCACCTGAAACTATGTATGTAAAGGTCACAATCTCCTCTGATTCTAGCTTAAATTGGCCATTTTTGATTATGTTGGGCCTCTCACCTACCCCTGCATTAACTTAATGTGTTTATAACTCCCCAAATAACATCTTGCAGACTGTTTGTGGACTGGTAAGGAACATGGACCAGCTTTGTCTTTTCTGGAGGAAATTTTTAATATTTTGGCCCCATGTATTATTTCTTAAAATAACTGGAGGTGTGGGTCTTATAACAATCATTGCAATATTTTTGCATAGGGTAGACACACAATGTGTATTGGATTGCATTTTTCTATTGTCTGCCTTCTAAAGATTCTTATAAACCAATATCTTCCCTGAGTTTTGCTTAAGAAAAGACTATATTATTTCCCCAAAGTGCCATAAATAAATATTTACCCTCATAATATACGGTCATAACACCCATATATGTTGTTCTCCGTGGGGGACTAGTTCTGAGTTTTTCTGGGGGCAGGCAATAAATGATTTATGTAGAAGTTCTATCTTCACCTTAGAAGAAAGAGGTCCTCATGATTTGCATCATAATTTTTCCAGTAGATTACACAAATGCTTCCTAATTTGGGTGTTCCCTAGAAGTCCTCACTTAAATGGGTGCAAGGCTCATGCCCTCCCTTCTTGGCAGCATAAAAGGCACAACAGCAAAACATAAGCAAATAAACTTTGAAAAAGTTGATGGCAGTGGCTATGGTGAGGTAATCAAATGTAGGGACAACAGCAGCTGTAAATGCTGATATGCTCAGCCACACCCAACCTGCAAAGCTCTACCCATGGCCAAGATGTAAGGTTCTATCCCAGATTCTAAACTGTTCACTGCACCTTCCTACAGACCATAAAATGCAGGTTTGGGACCAAGGATTTAACTCTACCCTTTATCTGGACCCATATTTGAGCCTGGATTTCACATTGGTTCAAACTGATCTAGCATCCTCAGCTTTGAAAGTGTTGGGGTCAGGTATCAGGAATTATCTGATCTGCTTGTGGCGAGTTTAAAAGTTTGGTTATGATCTTAAATAGTTCTATTCCATACAACTTCTAATGTCCCCACCTACTCCCTCCCAACTTTGCACACTGGCCTTATGGTACCTAATTTTTTCTCGTGCTGTGTATTTGGAAGAATCTCCTGTTATGTATGTTGTCATAGGTATTGTCACCCCCTCCATTCTTATCCTGAGTTTTCATCCTGTTAAAGTTTGCCATTTATGAAAACCAGGCTCACCATAGAAGCTGAAGGGTATTGTCTTCTTGCTTTATTTTACTCCATCTCTGACAATAAGAAAAGCTTGCTTGATTCGTTCTATTTATACATTGAAATAACTCTTGTTCACTGACTGACCCTTACCCTATAGATCCAGTCATCCATGCCATGGAGGAAAAAAATCTTTGTTGTGCCTATTCATTTTCATTGGCTGTCATCCAGAAAGCAGAAATATTACTGCTTAAATAATGTTCATCTGTTGCTGAAGAACTGCAATAAAGGGCTCTTCAAGCATCATAGTTAATCTGTTAACATAAGATTTACAATTCATTGCCATGCCATGCCAAATGTATCTTTAGCACGTTTTCATGTTCTCTAACATTAACTATTTGCCCCTGACAAATCATTCTGCCTTTAAATTGCTAGTTAATGCAATAAACTGGCTAAAATGAGGTAAAAAATTTCAATTACCCAATTCTCCCCCCCGCCCCACAGCCACCCCCCACTCACAATTAAAGTTATTTGATAGTTGGTCCTCTGAAAGGATACATAAGGTGAGCAGTTACACCCATAAGAAAATCTTCCAGTCAAATAGAAAAATGATCATCAGAACCTGTATTACCTAAACCATTAGGGATGTAACCTTCAGATATTTGTTCATGTACCTAATCTTTACTCATGCAAAAAGTCCCCTTGGTTTTTAACTACCTGTAGGTGAGAATCAGTAGCTGACTGATAAGAAATGGTAGCATCCAAGTTTTTGCTTAGAGATAAGTCTGTTCATCAAATGTGCTCTTTCTAGCTATTACATGTGTCTACTTTTGGCAGTATTCATATCGATGAATTACACATACATCATGTAGACAAGGTTCCTTGGGTGAATTTGATATCTTTTATTAGACCAACCCAAATGGTTGGAGAATAGTTATTAAGCAAGCTTTCAGGTTCAAAAACCCTTCGTCAGGCTCAGGAAGCTGCAGCAGTTGGTGTGTGCTCTTCCTGGATGGAATGCATATATATATTTTTATATATATATATTTATATATGTGTGTGTGTGTATGTATAAATATGCAAATATTTAAGTGTATGTGCATAAATATAAGTATGCACGTATATATAATGTAACATTTGTATGTATTGTAATTTAATAAATTCACAATTGTTTGTGATTTTATAAATTCTATTCTGTTCTATTCTGTTTTCCCCTATTCTCCATTCCCTGGCTTTCTCTATGTACATAAATGCCAGAAGTACATTCTAAAACTATATATAGTTTTGTGCCAATAAAAAAAAGTCTGAAAGAAATTCTTCAGGTCTTTAAGCCATGGTGTCCCTCTGAGAGCCAATGAAGGAAAGAAGTGACTGACTGCCTCCAAAGCAAAAAAAAAAGAGCCCTGAATGCTTATCAATTTAGAGATAAAATGTGTTATATTCCATGCAATATTTTGATAAACATACTGGGCTAAGAATATTGAGCACTAGTCAGTCCTGTTTGTTATTGCCAGGCCCTAACTGCAAAGTCCAGTTGTAATGCACACTGAATATGCAGCAATAGGAGCCTGTAAATTGAAACAAGCACTAACAATTCTTCTTTGGGAAAAGCCATGAGGAAGTGAAATGGGAAGAACAATGCAAATTTTACTATTTTATGTTTCATATGAACCTTGCTGGAGAAACTGAGAAAGAGATTATTAAGAGGTCTGTGGAATATTTCCTAGGGATTTTAAAGTAGCTGTAGACAGAATAACCAGTTATCTATGATCCATATGGTTGGTGGTTACCTCTATCTGCAACAAATAGCTTTCAGATATATGTTGGTCTGAACAATGTGTTTAAAATTGGCATCCGTAAATCCACTTTATTCTGTGGATCAAAGGAAAGTTAATAATTTTTCTTGCCTTTTATTTGTTTCAAGAATGTGTGTAGGTTTTTTTGTATGTATATAAAAATATAATAGCAATTGGTATTACTTTTTCAATGAAGTTGGAAGGAGTTTTGTTGGGGTTTTTTCTTTTGGTTGGTTATGATCTTTTTGTTTTGTTTAGCGTTGTTCTGTTTTGTTTTAAGGACCGGTACCTAAGTCATTGCCTACTATTGTAAAAGCAAAAAAAGTATTGCAGCTTTGTATTGCCTGTGCTTGCCCAGTCATCATTCTACATGATACAAGCACTGGGAAATTTCAATGACACAGCCTGCAATGGGTTCAGTGACCTCAATTATGCCCTTCCACCCACTCCAAACTCCTTTCAATTTGCAAAAAGCTTTAAGTGGACAAAACCCAGATGCTTGTAGTTCAGTAAGAACAGATTGGGCATGTAGATTCTTGTCAAAGTGATGTATGTAGTTCATTTTCCATTAACTCTTTCATAACTAAGTATTTCAAATGCTCATTTCCAGGTTGAGTATTATACTTAGTTTTCCATTGCTTTATAAAGTTCATTAGAACATCAGAACCAGTTTTTTAACAAACCTTAAAACATGGCTAGAAGTTACCTGATCTAAAACAGACAGAGACCCTGGTTCTGTTTTAAAAGACAACTGCTTAGTTTTGTTTTTAAACCTGGTCTTTTCATATTTAATAATTCATCCTTTTGTCTTCAAGAAGCACTGACCAAATATAATTGATATAGACTTCCTCTTTGCACAGAGTGTAAGAGGATAGATTATGAAAGCTCACCAGTTAAAGAAGGACATAGCCCCTGATGAGCATAAGAGCTTTGCTTATGTTGGTTTGTTGACATCTGGATTGCTTATGTAATTTTGTATTGTTGCACCAAACAGTTGATGTGCCCCACCCCAAAAGTTTTGTCATGCTATCTTTCTCCCTCTCTCTGCCTTTCTCTTTCATTCTCCAGAAACATGTGCTGTCAATAATGGAGGTTGTGACCGTACTTGCAAGGATACAGCGACGGGGGTACGTTGCAGTTGTCCAGTTGGATTTACCTTGCAGCCTGATGGAAAAACATGCAAAGGTCAGCTTCTGTTTGCTTTGCAATGTATCATTTGCCTTCAGCAGTTTCAGTGTTAGATGTAAATATTAAATACATAATCCATAAACAGAGTTAGAGCAACTTACTGGGGCATAGATATTAAAATTGAAATTGTCAGCTTTCTATTTCACGAGCAGTAATGGGTCATCATCCATTTAAATAATTTTTATTGTTAAGAAAGTTGATTCTTCAAAATGTCCAGCAATTTCAGGAAGCCAAGTAAGGGCACCATGAAGAGCCTTGGTTTTCACTGAGTACTTTCAGAAAATTAGGCTTCTTTAAGATAGCTGAAATTTTCTGCCCAGTTAGTGAGGCTCTCAAATCTGCTAGTCCTAGAAATCTTGACCAGCACATTTACACACACACACACACACACACACACACACACACACACAACACATTATCACTTCCAAAACAATAAATGAGGGAGAAGGATTTAGAACAAATAAATAAAACATACTGACAGCTTCAGTATGTAACAGTACAATAAAAAATTCATCAACAGACCAGTTTGTTGCACCCCTCCCCTTCAAAAAAGGTAGTGTGGCCAATTACAATAAAAAATTGCATTGTACTAAGATACTGAGCTACATTCTGTAAGTATTATGCAGCTTTAATTGCTCTATTGGGAGTTTCACCAAAGCAAAGATTTCAGGATTTGGCCCTTAATAAGTAAAATTAAAAATCAGAAAATATTGAGAAGGGAAGTCTGAAAATAACATCTAGCATTTTTCTTCACATTTGTTCTTAGTTAAGGAGATAGGCATTTAAAGCTAAGCCTGCAGAAGCACATGTTCCACAAAGAGTGGCTACTTCCATGAGTAGATTTATCTATATTCTTTCAGGATCAGGACCGTAAACATTTTTCCACTTTGGTATTTATTTCTTATGAACTCAGTGGCAGGACACTAGTTGACAGATATACAGTAGTGCGTTGCATCTAAGTGTCACAAAGAATACTTTGTTGTCACGTGGTGATTTAGCACAAATCAACCTATCTTACTGCATAGCTGTTTGAATTATTTGTTTTCTTAGAAACAGCCAGAAATGTCAAAAGATCTCTAATCCAAACCTAAATGTTATTTAAAATAGCAAAACCCACAAAAACAAATAGAGAATGTGTGGTATCCCCATGCTGTAGCTTGAAAACTCCCACAGCTTGAGCATGATCCTGTTAGTATTTACAGAAATAACACTCCATTTGCTTGTTTATTTGAAAAAAAACATTTAAACTGCCATTGCACAGAATGTTAATAGTTAAGAGCAAGCACAAATCAAAAATCAGTCGTTTTAGTTCAAACCATGTAAAAACAAATGTTACAGGGGTGTAGGTTGTAGCCGTGTTGGTTCTTTGGGTGAAAAGAAAAGGTTCTTTGGGTGAATTCTTGTCTTTTCAAGAATACCCCTTCTCTCCCATACCCAGCCTGTCTCTCACCTCATAATGTTTATTCCTTGAACCTACATCATGAAAAATAAAAATTATCTAAACTTAGATGGCTTCCACTCTGAGGTCATCCCACTGGTCTAAGATGAAATAATTTTATATAAAAATGGATTCTATAATTAGCTTTGCAGACAAAATGAAATATCAAATTGATTCTCAAACAGAATATCAGAGATCTAAACAAAAGAATTGGCAATCCTTAAGGAGCAGAAGGCCAAAATAAGGCAGCTGGATCCAGAAACAGGCTGCTGCTTGCAACCTGGCTCGCTGAAGCGCCAAGCTGCCTGCTGCTGCCCCAAGCCTTCCCTATCAAATGTCAAGGGCTGCTTTCATGCCCCACTACTGCAGCCATGGCTGCTGCCATGCCTTACTCCTCACTACTGATTCCCCTTGCCACACACTGTCAGAAACTAAAAGTTCAGGGCATGAGAAGTGATGGCTGCAGTAAGGGAGTGAGCAGGGAGAACTGTGGCAGCAGCAAACAGTACTGGCGAAAAACTGGAGTGGGTGGTGAAGAGGGATGGACACATGTGAGGGATCTGGGGGTACCCCCTCTAGGCCAGCACTGGTGCCCTCATTGCCCATCCCTGCTCATACTGCTGCCTTTCTACCTGGATGCACTTACCTGGCAGGCCTGATCTAGCCCATGAGCTGTAGGTTCCCAACCTCTGATCATTGCTGTTTCACAGGTATAATTGGAGGAGTTCTTGGTTGAGAAGGGGTGAGAAGATATAAAACAGAGAAGCTGTTCTATTTGTGATGATTTTTTAAATTTCTTAAAATAAGCAGAAACTGGGAAATCACTTTCATGGTTTAAAAAATCCATCAGGTCATTTTTAACCTATATTGAAGCTTTAGAAAAATCTTTATCTAAAACCAATAAAGTAAATATTTTGCCTTTGATATAAGCTGGATGAATGTATGTATAACTTACTATATTGTAGCCATTTTTGGTTTAATCCTGCATCACTGAAAACACTGGGAGCTTTGGTATTTAAGTGGACACGTGTTAGGCACTTTAAACTGATCAATGAGGCTGCTTTGCTCTAATATTTATAATCCTTGCATGCAAGGGAGAACACTTCTCTCATTTCCAACCAGGGTTTGAATTACATTGTGACTCTTTGTGGGGGATCTGCAAAAAAAAATTGTGCTGCCCATCAAAATGCCCTAATAAAATCCCTAGAGTTCTGACCCCTGCAGGTTATGATTTTCAAATCTTACAGGGGGGCTGTCATCTCTTATGGGGGGGGGGGGCGGGCCCCCCCCCCCCCATGCTGAGCTCCCCTGTAATTCAAACCCTGGTCCCAACTGCCTCCATCAGAGCTGCTGCACACTGGTCCCAGCTGCCTCCCCCCCACCCCCGCCCCCGACACTGCTGCACACTGTGATTCTCTTGCTACTAGAGTGAAGCCTGAAAAAGTGTGGGTTATTCCGGTATTTTCAGTATTTGCATATTGTTTTTATAGAGGTTTATAATGACCAAGGCATGGGAATGAGGCAGTCTTCAAGTTTTCTTCTTCAGTGTTTTTTTAAACTGTCTTAGAGTACACTGTTCTTTCCAGGAGGGTTGATTGGCCATTGAACTTCTACATGCAGATTAATCATCCTTGAGCATCATCCACTGCCACTTCTCTCCACCATAGTATGGGAGAAGCATCCAAGCCCCATGGATCAAGCCCAGGGGTGCACAATTATTTCAGGCAGAGGGCTGCTTACTGAGTTTTGGCAAGCTGTTGAGGGCTGCATAGGTAGCCCTGCCCCTTAACAGGTGCCTTGCCTCCTGGTCACCATCTTGTAACCAGAAGTCCTGCTCCCTAACCCCCAGCTTTTGCCACCAGAAGTTCCTCCATTTGTCCCCATAATACTTCTTTCAGCAAGGGGTTTTGCCATCTCAGAAACAGAAAAATACCAAATTGTATTCTAAAAATCAAACATCTACAACATTTATTATAGATTTCATAGACATTAGGGCTGGAAGGGACCTCGGAAGATCGAGTCCAGCCCCCTGCCCAAAGGGCAGGAAGTCAGCTGGGGTCATAGGATCCCAGCAAGATAAGCATCCAGTTTGCTCTTGAAGGTGTTCAATGTAGGCGCTTGATCCACCTCCGGTGGTAGGCTGTTCCAGACCTTGGGGGCTCAGACAGTAAAGAAATTCTTCCTTATCTGCTTCCCTGACCTCTGATCATGCGCGTGGCTCTTCTCTGGACTCTCTCAAGCTTCTCCACATCCTTTTTGAATTGTGGAGCCCAAAACTGGATGCAGTACTCCAGCTGCGGCCTCACTACGGCCGAGTACATGGGGAAAATGACGTCCCGGGATTTGCTTGAGAAGCATCTATGGATGCAAGTCAGCGTTTTGGTCGCTTTACTAGCCGCAGCATCGCATTGCAGGCTCCATGACTGGTGCATCCTGGGTCTGGGGAGGGGACCCAGGGTCCCCATGAGGCTGATTGCCCAGCTGGGGAGGTGTGGGGAGGCCCCCCAGTGCACTCCCCAGCAGACCTGGAAGTAGACTGGAAGTATTTCTGGTCCACTTCTGGGTTCACCACTGAGCAGGTGGAGGGCCCCCCCACACCGCACTCCTGTGGGACACTCCATCCAGCCCAGCATTGCAGTATTCACAAGCCACTCTGGTACCTTGAGGTATGTAGAAAAAACATTTAAAGCTGTGTCTATGTCCAAATCACTGATTCTCTGAATAAGCATCGAATCTTCAGATTCAGACTCGGCTGAATCAAATCAGGGACAATGATCTGAATCAACTAATTGAATCACTGTCCCTGATTCAGGATGAATCCAAATCCAAATCGAATAGGGCCCGCTTTGCACAACCCTACTAGCTATGTCTACACATGCATTAATGCGCAGTAACATTACTGTCCAGTAAAATAAGGCACAGTAAACTGCACCCACAAACATGCACCTGGCCCCCTTCTGCCTGGAGCAAAATTGTTTCCAGTCAGCATCTACACATGTTCCTAATGTGTCATTTATCTAGCACCTGTACAAGTTGGCACTAGCAAACGGCACATTAGACTAATTTAATGTACAATACATCCAGTGCACATGTAGACAGTGACACTTTACTGCGCATTAGTCTAATGCGTAGTAAAGCCTCTTGTGTAGACACACCCACTGTGTACAACCTCTGGCATCTTGGCAGCAGCAGCTACAGCCAGACCCTTCTGCTGGCAGAGGTAGGTAAGCAAAGACATAGCCTAAGTGTAAGAGATGTTAGTTAGATGATGTTGTCTCCCAAAAGAAGTGGTAAATTGCACTCGAGAGAACAGTAGACAAGAATGAGATTAGAAAAAATGTGTTGTGGTTCCCAGAGACTGGCATGTAAAATATTTTCTGCTATTAATAGTGTGCAATCCCATTGTGAAATAAAAATAAAAGTGCTATTTGTGGTACACTGAGTGTGTCTGTGGCCATTTTAAAGCTAGCCAAGGCAGAGATTCACCCAAATTCTGTTCCTGCACTTTAAATGTCAGTTGCCACCCTATGTGACCTAACAGTAAAGTCTACACTCTTAC